GTGGTCAGGACCCCCATGGACCCTCACAGAGCAGGTATTATTTGGGTGGTGGGTCATTCTCAGCACTGCAGTAACACTGATGCGGTGGTGGTGTGTTAGTGTGTGTTGTGCTGGTACAAGTGGATCAGACAGAGTTTTTAAACGCTGTGTCCACTCACTGTCCACTCTATTAGACACTCCTACCTTGTCAGTCCAGCTTGTAGATGTAAAGTCAGAGACGACAGCTCATCTACTGCAGCACAGTTTGTGTTGGTCATCCTCTAGTCCTTCATCAGTGGTCACAGGACACTGCCCACACCACGCTGCTGGCTACAGATTTTTGGTTGGTGGACTATTCTCAGTCCAGCAGTGACACTGAGGTGTTTAAAAACTCCAACAGCACTGCTGTGCCTGATCCACTCGTGCCAGTGCAACACACATAATAAAATAAACCCCCCAAAACACAGTAAGAAGGACGAAGCTGAAGTTGGCTTCCTATTCACCAGCTTCTTGTTCAAATTTTCCCGTTCCACCTTAAATGGTGCAGCAGCCACTTTCTGGTGCCTGAAGCTGCACCATTTAAGGTGGAACAGGAAAATTGGAACAAGAAGCTGGCTGATGCACCATTTAAGGTGGAACAATTCAAGTTTTGTTTTGTGTGTATTAAGCAATTTTGTGAACAACTGATGTTTATTAAAGCATTACTGATTATAAGATATGTAATGAAAATGTCTAGACTGGATAGAGACCCAGATTTATTCACAACTAGCCAAGTCGTTGGCAACGTGTAGATACGATGTGTTTTTCTCTTACAGCTTTAACAAAAAAAGAGGAGAGGTGTGAGGAGGACAGGGTGAAGAAAACAAGGACATAAAGACAGAAGAGTGAAGGGTAGGAGAATAGAATAGGAGCAGAAGGTGTTTTAGAAGCTGAATTTAATGTTAATATTCATTGCTGTTAAATACGATTTCATATTATTAGTTATTACTTTATAGTCAATAAAAAAATCAAGAGAACAATAATTGTAGCTCTCATGTTATAAAAAAGGTGAAGGTAAATTACGTAAAGACAGATTTAATTACATCAAGGGATTTAATTAATGAAAACACTCCCAGTAAAACCACTTATTTTTTCATCTAAAACGTCACACCTTTACTATTTTATCATGGATTTCCGTAGCTGTAATGGACTAATTCCTCTGAGCCTAATGCTAAAGTGTTACAGAGAGCTTGGCGGAGGCGGGCCAGGGTAGCCAAAGCAAGAGCTTAGGTCTGAATCCAATAAGAAGATTTCAGCATAAGCCGTTCAACAAAGATCGCAACTATCACCGTCGCTGAGAGACTTAAAGTGCTGATGCTGGTGCAGAGTTACTGGTAATACTGATGAGCGCAGATTATGAATTGGAGATTTGCTGTGAGCCCTGTCTGTGTGTGCAGGACCGATTATTATCCATTATCACGTGTGCATGCATTCATGACAACTCTGATAGTCTTGGAAGAATCGTAGCTTAGTGTTTCCAGAATAGGTTTCAGATAAATGATTTGGCATGCATATAAAAAAGGTTCCCCTTTCAGAAAAGATTTTGAAGGTTAGAACAGTGCTAGTGCCCCAGAATAGACTGATAATACAGGGTGATTCAAAAAGATTCATCCGATTTCAAAGCGCCATATTTTTACAACCGTGAGGTGCCTAGGAACCAATCACAATCCAATTGAAAGAGGGGGTCATAGAGTTTCTGACTGTCAGTGGAAGATGGCTCCCTTCAGTCTGAGAGGAGATGAGACCCCTGAGCAGAAAGCGTTCTGCGTTCTCCACTTCAATAAGAGTGAATCCGTCATAACTGTGCAGTGTGATTTTCGTGGGCAGTGAAGCTCCAACAGCTCAGAGCGTTCGGCGTTGGTTCCACAACACTGGATGATCTCCGAAATCGCACTGAAAGAGCCGTGAGTGCAGCGACACCCGACACGCTCAATCCAGTATGGGATGAATCTGACTATGGTGTTGATGTTGTCTGTACAGCTGGAGGAGGTTCATACTGAGACCTTGTACAATTACATAATAAACTTTATGCTCAATTAAACCATTTACAGTTTACTGCATTGACCTGTAATGTCACCCCGTATTGTTGGGTGGTTCAAGTTTTAAAAACTTGAACCACCCAACAATAAAAAAATAAAAAACAATTAAAAACTCCAGCAGCACTGCTGTGTCTGATCCCCTCGTACCAGCACAACACACACTAACACACCACCACCACGTCAGTGTTACTGCAGTGCTAAGAATGATCCACCACCCAAATAGTACCTGCTCTGTGAGGGTCCATGGGGGTCCTGACCACTGAAGAACAAGGTAAAAGGGGGCTAACAAAGTAAGCAGAGAAACAGATGGACTACAGTCTGTAACTGTAGAACTACAAAGTGCACCTATATAGTAAGTGGAGCTGATAAAATGGACAATGAGCGTAGAAACAAGGAGGTGGTCATGATGTTATGCCTGATTGGTGTAAAGGTAAAAAGCAAGAGAGTTTTAAAAGTTATGCAGCTCTAATCTACTGTTTTTTTCCATCTTATGATCTTACTCTGCACACTCTCTTACTGTTTTGTAGCACAGGGTTCAACAACAGTTCAACCGAATGTGCTGCTTGATGCTCTATACGTCAGTCTGTCAGCACCTGCAGAAGGAAGCGGCTCGTCAATTAAATTTATGACATATCAAATTGTGGGTAAATAATGAGACACAATCTTGAACAACTCTGCTATGTTGGGATTTTATGTAATGCATGAACTTTTGAACCTGTAGCAGGTCACGTTAAAGGCAAGCGCACAGAGGACAAGGATCCTTAGCAAGTGCAATCTTGCTGCTGAAGCCACATTGAGGGAAAAAGCCATTATTATTTCATGTTTTTTGCACCCTAAATGGGTGGCACGGTGGTGCCGTTGGTAGCGCTGTCGCCTCACAGTGAGAATGGCCTGGATTCGATTCCTGACCAGGGTCATTTCTGTGTGGAGTTTGCATGTTGTCTGTGTGGGTTTCCTCCCACAGTCCAAAGACGTGTAGTCAGGCTGATTGGACATGCTAAATTGCCCCTAGGTGTGAGTGTGTATGTGTATGTCTGTCTGTCTGCCCTGCGATGGACTGGCAAGCCGTCCAGGGTGTATCCTGCCTTCCGCCCAATGACGTGATGTGTGTGTGTGTGTGTGTGTGTGCACCCTAAATGTGTGATGGGGCCCTGACAAGTCTGCAACTGTTCCAGCAGATGTAGTATATGAATAAAAGTCACTAGAAACTTTCCAAAATGGAATCCATGCAGAAAGAAAGTGTTTTGGTTTTCAGTCAGGCCTAAATATATTTTATTTATTTTTAAGACATATGGTTCATAGAAAATTCACCAAGATCCTCGGAATATACACAGTTATTTTCCAAATGGCTTGTCTGTATCTATAAGCCTATTTTTCCAGAAAAATTGAGAATATGTTTTGGGAAAGTTGAGCCTGTGTCAGGTAACTAGTTATGTTGTATATTTACTAAAGTCAAATCAAATCAAAACCTAAATAAATAATACACACAAATTTATTTTAGACTTCTCTATTTAACCTGTTACCTGTCACTTGAACAAACACCACATCATTCAACACATTTTCTCATGCAAGAAGAGGAAGATGTAGATAATAGAGCATTTCACTGAGCACTAGAAATATATATCTGTCTGTTTTTCATCACATATATGGGTCATTCTACAGAAACGTCCACTTTTCTATCTGTCCATAGGAGTCACTGGTGTTACCGATCCTCACTGGTGTTACACATAATAAAGGGAACACCAGAGACGTTTTAATGAACAATACATTTTACAGAATGGCTGCTACAGAGCATCAAACCATATGTTGTCAATCATGAATATCCACTAAAATATGTAATTTAATCCGTTTGTATTCTATTTTTTTAGACCTAAATATTTTTTAACAATTACCTCAGAATAAAGTCGGTCACACCAGTGACCTCAGCTAAAAGCTTCATATGAAATCATGAGCTGAATGAGAAAATCTCTGATAACTGAAAGACACAGTGGACTCACCATGAGCTTTTCTTCATAGATCCTCAGAAAACAGGTAAAAGGAAGTCGAGTGATGTCATCAGTGTGATTTTTATTTCAAAATAAGAGATTTTTTGTCACGCAGTAACACCAGTGACATGACTCCTGGGGACCACAACTTTCATTATATATTTTATAATATTTACTTGGCATTTGTTTTTGTTATGTCATTTAATTTATATTTTTCATAGGCATGTATAGATTATTGTAGTTAAAATTGCAGAAAAATGTTTTTTTTTATTTCAAAATATGGCCTCACCCTTTACACATGACTGTGAGGACGAGCTCTTCTGTGGTGCTTGGAATTCTATATGACTGATTTAAAAACCAATATTGCTAAATGTATGGCTCAAGAAGGTGTAATTGTTAAAATAATTCACTGTTTTATTTTCAAATGTGAATAAATTGTAACCCTAACATGTTTTTAAGTGTAATATATCTGTAAACGCTAGGCACACAAAATGGACGTTTCTGTAGAATGACCCATATCCATATAATATGTAACATTATATCTTTGCCAATCTTCATACATGTTTTCTAAAGTAGTGTCTGTATTGCCATTAAAGCTGCAATAATGTAATTACATAATCCATTTGGGCTTTTAGATTCTTTCAATGACGTCTTATTTAGGTCTAAAAAAGTATTAACAGCCTGCAAAAAATAAATTAGTACTAAAAACTGTATAAAACTCACTTTTTTGCCTCACAGGGTGTTTCAATGAGGCAGAATTAGACGTAGTGTAGATAAAGAATTATCATTCGTCTTTCAGGGGTAACAAGACCAGCGTACAGGTTACAAAGACTGGTCCCTAGATCAGCGCTTTGCTGACACTCGTCAGAGCCTGTTAACCTGAGGAATAATTACACTTATTCTCTTCAAATCCTCACATCTCTTTCAGAATCATCTCTCCACTTCTGCCCAGCCTCCCTCACTCCACATCTGCCTCCTCCCCGTCCATCCTGAGCTCTTTCTCTGGCAGCAGTCCATAGTCGTTGAGAAAGGCCTCCACGTCAGTGGCAAAGAATTCCTCGTTGAAGTACTGCGTGACAGTTAGGAAATTCCCCAGCATCTCTCCAGCTTTGTACACCAGCACAGCCGGAAGCACGTCGTCGGAGAACCGTTCCCCTGCGCCGGTGGCGGCCGCATTGATGCGGCAGAACTTGATGGTGGGGTACTCAGTGGCCAGGCAGTTCAGGCAGTTGTTGAGCTCCTCACAGCCCTTGACGTCATCTTTGTAGATGTGCACCACCACCATGGTGAGTTTGTGCTCCTTCTCGATCACGTCAAGAAAGGCCTCACCGCTGTCCAGGTCGTACACACCCTCAAACTTGGGCCCGAAGCTCAGGCGCTCATGCATCTCCTGCATACACTGCTTGCGATACTTGCGCAAGCACTGCTCATCGTCCTCCTTGAGCAGCTCGTACTCCTGGACACTCATCTGAAAAATAAAGATTACCACATGGGTATATGACATGGGTCAGCAACCCAAATGTTAAGAAGAGCCACTTTGTCCTTACAACAATAATCAAAAGACCTTGGGAGTCACGACATATTATGTCTGTTTTTACCATCTTGGCTGTAAACATGTCTCAGTATGAGCTAATGTGCTAGAATAGGCTAAAAATATAGTATAAACAAAAACGCAGACTTTGCTTTAAGCTCTAGCTCAGCTATAGTCACTTTTCTCGCATCTCCAGCAGGAAACTTTTCCTCAAAAGTGGATGAGTTTCTTAAAAATATCTCTCAATGTTCTACTTTTTATGAGGCTGAAGTCGCTTCCCATCCGCCAGCTTCTTGGTCGAGTGCTCCTGTTCCACCTTAAATGGCGCCTGAGGTGCCTGAATGCAACTGCTGCACCATTCAAGGTGGAACAGGAAAATCTGAACAAGTAGCTGACTTCAGCTTCACGACTTTTTAGTGTTTGACAGACCGTTTATTGTTAAAACTGTATTGAATGATCAACAGAGCTTTATTTTACTGCAAAACAGGATTATTTTTACCTAAATGTCTAATTCTGTTGTGGAGCTGCAACAGGACAGTAAAAGAGTTGCATGTGGCTCCGGAGCTGCGTCTTGCCGACCCCTTGTAGATGAGATGAGGACCAAGCTGGAGTACCAGGTTGACTCTCATGGTTGCACATTTTGGAGCTTTGGTGCTTTGGATTTTTGGGTTTTTACCCAATTATCTTTCCAAATTAATCAGGTCCAGTTCCACCTGCTAGCTAGTCTCCCCCAGTCATGCTGTGCCTCTAAGCTGGGTAGGAGAAAGCTATCAGGTGCTGGCTCTGGCCCAATCCCATTTCACCCCACACCCCAACCACTTAGCCCTTAGCCCGCCATTTTGCGGGGATCACGTCTAGGGGTAGGGTGTCCTGATTCTTGTATTAGGGGTACATGGCCCTACAAACAGAGTGTTATGAGACTCCAAACAGAGAGTTATGAGAAAAAAAAGAAAAACAGGCAAGTTGGCTGAACAAGAGACCAAAGAAATTTTCTTTGTTAAAAAAATTATGATAACCACTGTATTATCTTAGTTTGATGATGTTTCAGTGTATTATAGTGCTGTTCTTAATAAGAAGCATATAAAAATGCTAATAGCATACTAATGTCTCGACAGCTAGCTAGCTGAATTTCTCGTTCCACCTTAAATAGTCCAGCAGTTCTGACGCCTGGAGCTCCAGAATGTAACTGCTGCTCCGTGTAAAGTGGAACGGGAAAATTTGAACATGAATCAGGAAAATATCTGACTTCAGCTTCATATCATTAGGGAATTAGGGTTGGGCGATAATAAATAATTGCCCCCCCTCTTTGAAGGCATATGGTGCCCTAAATGTAACTAAAGCCCAGCAGTGAGGAGCTGAACTTTACCCTCCTCTGCTATCACTGCAGACTGGCAGGGTCGCCTACAGAGCATCACTAGTAGCTGTTAATGAAGCAATGTTCTTTTTATTTGAGGGTCCTATTTCAACTCAGTTCCAAGGGGCTAAGAGACACTCAAAAACAAGGGGTAGGGGGAAAAATAAGAAATGGGATTAGGCCTCTGAGTCTTGTGAAGCCAGCCACCTCCACTTTTCGAACAGCTCAACTTGCTTGTGTAGAAGTTAACTACCTCTTCTGTCAGCTAACCGACTAGCTTTGCACTTGGTGAAGTGGGGAGAGGGAAGACCACCCCACCCACTCAGCATGAGCCTGGCCTGCACTCTTGGACACCCAGCCATGTATGGCTGTGGCATTGCTGTGCATCAAACTTACAATCTCTTCATAATAGGGCGACAGATAATCCTGATTAAATTCTTGTCTGCCTCAAACTTCTTATGCACATCTGATGACTTCCTACTCTACCTTGGAGTTGTCACGCCGTGAGAGAGGAAGAAATGCCTACCTTGCGGTTAAGGCTACCCAAGGAATCATCTTTTGGTTTGTGTGGCGATGACATCTGTCTCAGCAGCTCCCTCTTGTTGGGAGGCAAAGACTCCTGGTCCATGCTTTCCAGCTTAAACTTCCGCCAGTCATTAATCACTCCCTTTGGTCCTGGAGGCGGTTGAGAAAGTGAATGAACCAGCCATGCAAGTCAGATCAATCTGGTTTCAAACATGATCACAATATATCACCTGGTTGGATATTCTTGATAGAAACTGCTTTTGTACTGGAGGCGCTAGAGTCATCACTGATTTAGGCCTAAAAAGGCCCCTTAATCCACCTCTGTAATTGAACCCTGCTTGACACAGCTATCTGCCAAAGCAGCTTTGCAAGTCAAGTCAAGGATGGCATTGTCTCAGTGTCTAGTTTATGAACCTTCGCCAGTCATGTGGTCATTTCTACTCTCATTACTGTTTACTGGTGCTGTTTATTCTATTGATTCTTCATAGCAACATCAAGTCATGACAATTTGGGCACAATGGCAGCTCTGAACAGCTAAGTTTGATGAATTGCACGCTTACCTGTGTGAGTCACAGCCACCTCCTCCTCCTCATCTACTCCTCTGCCAGACATTTTGTTTTCTATATGGGCAGATGGAATATTTTATTATGGAAGGATTATTTTAATAAGCCAGTTAAAAAACGGAAGACCTTTATTGAAGATGTTATTAATAAGAGAGGAACAGTACGGCGCAGAAGTCAGAGACCTTCATTTATTTAATTTCCACTGAAATGTTGTCATCTTACTGTGAGAAGACAAGCGGCTCCGAAAAGCTAAGTTTATTGAATTGCACGCTTACCTGTGTTTGTCACAGCTATGCAGAGTTGTCTTCTCATTGTAAGAAGACAACGTACTATGAGTCTGAAAGGATGTGTAAGTGTCAAGAATCCGTTACTGAGAAAAGGAAATTGAACAAAGAAGCTGCCGAAGGACTCAGAATAATGGACTGACCACACCAGACCTCAACATCACTGAATGTGTTTGAGATTACTTGGATCATGAGAATCATTGGAGGTGTGGAAAATAGTGGAAATCTGAAATAATGGCAAAGAGTGGACACACTAAATAGTGGAAATGTATGTTATGCTTATTTGTTGAGGCATCTGTGTAGATTTCTGTTAAATATACATTTCCTGCTGTTTTGTCTGGAAATCAGGGTGGTCTTCCACTCATTTCTGTACCTAAGCATTTGCATTTTGGTATAAGACTAATCAATCAGTCATAGACATTGTGTAGGTAGGTAGGTAGGTAGGTAGGTAGGTAGGTAGGTAGATAGATAGATAGATAGACAGATAGATAGATATTTTGATCCTGAAGGGAAATTGCAGTGTTTCAGTAGCAGCACATATAATTTCACAGAAACTTACATACACTATGCAGAAAATAAAAAAATAGAAATAAAAATAGACATAAGTTAAGTATAAAAGTAGAAATAAAGTATATCTATTTGCATATTTGAATATGAGACAGATTTGTTGTATTTACATGATAGCAGGCACTGAGTGGTATGAGGTAAACTAAAAGCACAATGAGTTTATGAATAAATGTTTATGAGTCATGTGAGTTTACACTGTGTTCACAAGCAAAGTAGTCCTCTGCTAAAGGTAGTTTTGTGCTAAACATCTATGCTCTAAAACTACAAAAGCTCCTAGAAGGCTGTTTCTTCAAACTGGGCAATGAAATGACCTGGTCTATACATGCATGTGCTCAGACGTGGCAGCTCACTGCGTTGTGTAATTCGTAATGTATAATTCAGCAAAGTGGATCGTAGTGTCTTTAGAGTGACTGCTGCTCTTAGGGGAAATTAGGCTGATGGGGTATTAGAAGATTACTCCTTGATCCGATTTATCAGCTTGGCCGGCACAGGTACCAGGATCCTTGCAGTGGCCGCTGTGATGTCAAGGATTTTCATCATCTCCAGAGCGGACATGATGCTGTAAGGTACCTCATAACTCATACCCTGGGGTTATGAAGTAGCTTGTAATTTATTTCTTTTTTCCATGGAGTTAAATCAGATTACCAGGCAACCTCTATAAGCATTTTCTCATTATTCTCAACAAAGTATTTTGATTTTTGAAGGTATTTCTGAAGTGACGTGTTTATTGGTCCAATATAGTTACTCAACAGTGCAAATGACCATAAAGCTGGGTTAGTTGACAGTATTGAATCAATCGCTAGGTATTCTTGTACTGAGCATCTTATCCTAGTTTAAGAGCCTCTATTATAGCGTCCCCATTCATCTCCGCAACAGCTGCCGCTGTTAAGAAGTCTTTTACGATGAAATACATTAGGCCATTTGTGTTACAGTTCTCACCCCTCTAATTTAAAAGAGTCACCTTAGGGATCATCTGAAAGTCACTGTCTCTTTCAGTACAGGTGAACAGTTGACAGGAAGTAAAGGTGGCTTCCAGCTAATCTCTACAGTGACCCATTTATCTATACTGATGTCATGGCCTATACTCACACCCCCAGGCCCGGATGTGACATCAGAGGATTAAGACACTATTAATCTCTAATTCTAACTAGTCACTCTGAGCTGAAATTCTTATTTATTTAGTTTTTTTTTAATTGTTATTGATTGTTATTGACCAGGTGGGTGCCGGTGTTTTCTGGCCTGTTGGGCCAGGTAAACAAATTAATTAGAGAGATAACTGCTTCACTTATCCTGTGTATTTACAGAAGCTCTTGCATTAAATTACATGCATTTTAATAATTTAATGATCTCAGGTCCCTCTAGCATGGCAAATAACAGACAACAGGCTTGTTGGCTCACTAATTCACGTACTAGATCACTCATCAAACAATAAGCAGCTATTACAAATCCATAATAGTGGAAACGGGTGGGCAATATGACAATATTTATAGTTATTGTGACAAAATACGCGACAATATTTCTTCATGAACATTTTGTGGGTATTATCAGTACTTAAAACACTGACCAGCTGCATATTTATTACAAAGAGAGCATAATTAGGCCTGTTTTCTTGGATTCAGTGCAGAAAATGAAAAGTTGAAAAATAATCTCTCAACTATTTGAATGTGGTATTTTTTTGTCTATTGCAAATCTCAACTAAATATTCCGATGCATATTATGTATCATGAAAATGTCTTGGAAGTATTGTGAGGTCTTATTTTTGCTATTTTGCCAACTAATAATGGTGGATTTCAAGCTAAATTCGAGAATCTTCTTTATAAACACACATTGAATTTCAAATAATCCATGCTGTTCTCTTATTTTATCTCCAAATTTAAGGCATAGCTAGTATTCCTAAAGCTGTTAGAGTGCATTTTGTTTACATCCTCCAGTGTAGGAGGATGAAGGCTGCCTTCATGTTCACTCATGTTTGGCATCATTTTTTCATCACTGCTCATCATCCATCTCTGCTTCAAAATAAACACTCAGAATAACAGTTCTTGAGGTTTCTTGGGTTTCAGCTTGGATTCAAACTCGGATAACTTTTGTTTTATTTGCGTGCAATAGCTGTGGGCCTGTACAAGTTGAAACAAGGCTCATTCGTTAGAAGAGTACATAACAGGCAGCTGTAGTTCTATCAGTTTACAACAGCAATTTGCTGTTGTTGGAAGAAAACCTTGTATCTCCAAAATGGTAACTTTACAGGAGAAAGAAAAAACCTACTTTACTTTTAATGTAAGTCAATGGAACCGGACTTTTTTCCAAGTCATTTTGGGCCGTTTCTTTTGGTCCATTCATCATGAAATTTACAGACAATGTAAAGAGCAACAGGCTTTTTCAGTTTATGTCAAAAACTGAAAAACGACAAAAATGGAGATACGAGGTTTTCTTCCGACAGCAGCGAATTAATGTTCATCTCTTGGTAATAACTTAAAATGAATGCTCCGTGAAAGTGTAGCCTCATCAGCCTAACCTATGAACTGCTGGACATTAAGAGTCAAATCATATTATTTATCAACAAAGCAAATAATAGACTAAAACTATTAAAGAAAAAAAGAAAAATAGACCAAACAACTTGCCATCCTACCTTTCTGTTGTGTCTGAGCAAGCGTCTCTTCCTCTTGAAGTTAGCCCCTACTGGCCGGTTATGTGGTCACTGTCTGGTACCACTTGTCTTTCATGCGTTTTAGTGTGTGTGGGGAGGGCCCAAAAGGGCTTTCTTAGAACGAGGGACATTACACGACATTGTGCCACCCACAAAAATAGCTCAAGGTTCCTAAGAGGATTTAAGTGGAGGAATTAGACCCTAGCTGCAAGTTAGAACATGACCCGTGAAAGATACAAATGTCAGAAAATGAAAACATGTGATTTGAAGCAAAGCAGCAAGATTATCAGTAGTTTTGGATTCCTTTGAGTGTTTGCTGGTGCTGTATCGGCTGCGCGAGGAACACCAGACGTAAACAGCTTGGCTATTATCACAACTGACCCAAACATAGCTTGAAAGTGAAACTGAGGCCTTAAAGGCACCAGCGCTCAGAGAAGTACTCCCACACCAGTCCCGTTAGCTGAAGGAGTCACTTTCATGAGATTATGATCTCAGTGCTTCAAAATATAAATTATGTTGGTTTAAGCTCTGCTGATTTTGCCCCGACCAGCTTTTCGTGCGTCGTCAAATCACATGCCGACCGGCTGAGCCAAGGTTAATTTAATAGGATGGATGTAAAAGATCCCTGGACAGAAATACACCTACGGCAGGTGGAGGGGCACGTCTAATCACCGTCCTATGACCAGATATACCCCAATTTAGAAACGTATTAGCCTTCGAGAATCCTATAGGACTACAGAGTCAACTTTTACCTACAGATCACGCCACTGCAATCATGAGTCAACAGAGTGAGCTGAGACGAAGAGTCACAAGTATTCCTAGAACGCTTGCCTCATCACCCTTTACCTCTTTATCTGCTCTCACCTGGGAGTCGAGGAGATTTACCTCTGTCATGAGAGACTTGTTACAATACAGTACAATACAATGGACACTGTATTTTGTAACAGTATTGCTTAGTAGCAGGTGTGAAAGAAGCTGTGATGTCATCAGTGACTGTAGTTTCACAGGTGTGGCATCATAAACAGAAAAAAAACATCATTTTTGGGGATCTAACAATTGAAAAAACGTCAGACTGTCATTTTCATAATTGCAACCAAGGCTTCAAACTAGTTTAAGGAACAAAAATGGGACCCAAAATGTGATCATCCTCAATCCTCAGCTTATGATTCATGTTTTATAATCCAAACCAGCACATATTTTTGGACTGACATCACCTATTGCATGACATCTGTCAGGCTCGGGCAGAATTCAGACGCTCGCAGGCCACACTTAAATAAAATGGGTTTATTAACCCTTTCATGCATACATTAGTAGAAACTCTTCTCAGATTTGAATCATTTTTATGACTCAGATCTGCATTAATAATCCTATGAATTTTCATTTTAAATAAAAATCACTTTTATTTAAAAAGTTTATCGAACTGTCCACATATGTAGACACCGTTCATTAGTGGAGTAAAACAAAGGAAGGACAATAAAAGATGCAAAACATTTAAAAATCTGTGAGGGTTCACCCTCTGTTCACTAAAAAAGTCATTTCCACTCTGGTAAAAGA